AAAACACTCTATCACTGAGCTACATGGTTTTTTATTTTTTATTGTAAACCCACAGAAACAACCCTTAGATAACTTAAAAAAATAATCATAAAAAGTACACTATGGAGCCAGGTGTAGTGGCACAACCTATAATCTCAGTGGTTTGGGAGGCTGATTCAGGAGCACCACAATTTCAAGGTCAGCCTCAGAAACTTAGTGAAGCCCTAAGCAACTTAGTAAGAGCCTGTCTCAGAATTAAAGAATTAAAAAATGGCTAGGGATATGGCTCAGTATTTAAGTGCCTGGGTTCAATCCCTAGTACCCCCCACCCCCAACAAAAGGATCCACAAAAAAAAAAAAAGAAAAAAATTATGGGAAAAAAAAATTATGGAAAAATTATTGAAAAATCTCTCCAAAGAAATTGGGGCTCTAATAAAAAGGGAAATCAATCCTACATTACTAACAATATCAAATATGCACTATATATATTTCATAAAATGAAAATTTGATGTTATTTGTATGCTTAAAGACTCTCTATCTTCACTGTTCATGGGATCAAATACTATTTTTTTGGTACCAGGGATTAAACCCAGGGGTACTTAACTACTGTGCCACATTCCCAGCCCTTTAAAAAATATTTTATTTAGAGACAGGGTCTCATTAAGTTTCTTAGGTCCTCACTAAATTGCTGAGGCTAGCTTTGAACTGTGATCCTTCTTCTTTTTCTTTCTTTCTTTCTTTTTTTACTATTTAAGTTCTTGATTTAATTGAAGAGGGGGAAAAAAAGCATACAAATACAGTACAACCTTCTAAATKGAACAAATGGCAAAAAAAATGGTACATCTCTGGATCTGAGAGCCAGAGACAATAGTCACTTAAGAAGAATCAGTGCCATTCATTTTGGACCCATGTCTCATTCATTCAAATTAAAAATCAGAAATTTCTCCAAAGGAAACTCAAAGTGATGTTGCAAGAGCTAGAGGAAAGAACACCAGGCAGGAGAGATGGAAGGTGATTGTTCTGGTAATGGTAACAGCTAACCTTCTGAACTTTGATCCTTCTGCCTTAGCCTCCCAAGCCACTGGATTATAGGCGTGGGCCACCATGCCAAACACAAGTACAAAAATCCTTATCATGGCAATAAAGGTTTTCCATAGCCTTACTTCCCAGTCATCTCCATTCAAATGTAAGTCAACCTTTATTGAATATGTGAATATTTGTTGAATTTCAACATTTACTGAATATTGGCCATGTGCTAAAAGTCAAAAGACAAATTAGCACTCTTGCCTTGAGAAATTCTACCACATGTCAAAATTAGGGGTGACCATGAGACCTGTTTTTGTCTACTGTCCTAGTGTAGTTACTAATAAGACCAAATCCCATTTTAAATCTCAAAAGTTTTTAAGTTTGGACAATAAGTTATACATCATTTTAATAATACCATCACCATGTTTTCTCAGCAAACTCTGTGAAGTTAATGAAGGACTATATCTGGTAAGGTCCCTGGAGAAATGGGACGGCACATTCCTACTGGAAAATTTGGGCAGAGTTCAACAAAAAGACTATTTGCAAAGGTGGTAAAATGTAATGAAACCAGACTCCAGGTCATTGAGGGGAAGTAAGTGACTTTTAGTTAACAAGTGGAGCCAGCCTGCAGAGATGCCATGGTAAGAGAGCCTGCAGGAATAAATACTCAAACCTTCCTCTCTTGTTCTGCTGTTGCTCCCCATTGCCTGAACTCAACTGGAAGGTACAAGGAATGAAAGCCCTTTGAGTTCAGGCTCCTAGAGGCAGAGAGCAGGACAGAGAATGGTGACATCCTCCATCAGAACTCACTACCCTAATTTACAATGGAAAAAAACGGGGGTGGGGGATGAAGCAAGGCCAACTAGACTGATGTTACAAAGCTAAGAGTTACTAATGTATTTGAAGTGCCACGTTCATGCTATTACTCTTGTTCCTCTAAGGTTCCTAAACTCTAGCAATGCCAGAAGTTTTACCCTTCCTATAGCGTCCTTCTATTCCCATGCCTGGAATTTCCTCTTTGCTTTCTCTCCTGGTTAAGTCTTTTCTATTCTGACAAGCAGGGTTGAGTTAGTAGCTCCTTTACTGTACTTTAAAATTCCGTTACTCATTTTTTTTTTTTTAATAATGCTGGGGAGCAAATCCAGAGCCTTGCAAAAACTAGGCAAGTGTTCTACCAACTGAATTACATCCCTACTCATTATTCATATATCTTTATTAGGATTTGGCATATTTATCTGAGTTATTTAAACATCTATCTCCTGGCACACTGTGTGCTGCTTAAGAGAGAGGCATCCTCATTTTAAAAATTCTTAGTCTTTAGCATAGTTGCTAGGCATATAGTTGAAAAGATAAACTAATCTCTAGCAACTCTATTAGGGAAAACTATTTTTAAACAGATTTTAAATATGAGAACACTGATGCACTAAAAGATTAATGAACCTACCCAAGGTCACTCAGCTATGAAGCAGTAAAATCAGGATTTTGAATCTAGGTAGTCTTGGCTGTAGAATAATATTAAAATAATTTCAAAATGAGAGCTGACATATTGAAATCGTGTCCATAGGTTGAAAGTGTTATTATTATTATTTGCAGTGATGGGGATGACATATTGTATTTAAAATATATTTTAAGTTATAGATGGACACAATATCTTTATTTTGTTTATTTKTATATGTTGCTGAGGATTAAGTCCAGCACCTCACATGTTTGAGGCAAGCGCTCCACTACTGAGCCACAACCCCAGCACTCCCCATATTGTACTTTTATTAAATATATTTATGCTTACAGCTGTATCCTCCCTCCACACCCCCCCCCCAAAAAAAAAATGGAGGAGAGAAGCAATAACGCATTGTTCCTAGTCAGTGAAAGGATCCAATGATGGATGAACTATCAGTGATTGTGTCCTAAATGGGTTTCCTTAAATATCAATTGAGATGTTAGAATATGTGACTTTTAGCTTTTTTAATTAGAATGAACTTATCTACCCACCAAGGTAGGGAGTTCAGGTTCTTATAATCTAATCAGTTTACAAGTAAGTATTCACAAACTAAATGCAAAATAAAGAAAATCTGCAGTCTGGTCTGGTTAGTATAATACAAAGTGGAGAATTTCTTTGTAATTGCCCTTATATCCATTGGTACTATGTGGAGTTCTCTTTCACAGGGCACACCTGAGCCTCCTTGTACCACTGGCAGTGCACGGTCTGAGTCTTTCTATGAGAGAAAGAACAAAATGTCCATATATCAGAGCTGCAGAAGAAAGTATTTTCCCCTCTCCCTCTGCACTGCAGCCATCCACATATAATCTTAATTCAACACTTATTGAGTGCCTAATGTTTGTTTGGCATAAAATAGTGGTACCCATCTTCAAAAGATTTGAAGTCTCTGGCATAGACATTGATCAAAGGTTGGAATTCTTTTGAGCATGGGTCCAGATATCAGGTTCCATGTCAGTGCCCTCCACTTTTCTTTCACCACTGTTCTCTCTTCCCTGGCTGTTCCACCGCTGTCCTGCCAGTGGAATTCTGTTGCTCCTCGCCTATCAGAGAAACTCAAGTGTCTGCTCCATCAAAGCTGAACYGGTGCAGGAAGACCACTCCTCTTTAACCCAAAGCTGTGGAAATCATTTGAACYCTGATGGAGGAGCAAACTCAAGGTCCCCAGAAAGTTAGGTGCTTTCAAGTCTCAGATCAGACACAGAGGCGCCCCGGTCCAAACAGGCGGGTTGCCTATTACCTAATTCAATAGGCCTGGTTTTCCCTGAGGGCACAATCCCCTGGGATGATCACCTTTCTTCAAAGCCTCACCACACTTCCCCAATGCTTTAATCCAACTGGTTCCCGCCCCTGTCCAGTAGCTGTCTTCAGTTATCTTGTGGGTCTCCTTCTCTGGACTGCGAGAATCTGCTGCATTTGACACATCTCACTGCCCAGCCTGTGCTGGTGCCACACAACCCTGCAAGCCCCAGGACCCTCCAACGCCCCATTCCGCCTGCCTCATAGACGCCCAGTACCGTTCCAACATCTGCTGGAAAAATCCTTCCCCACAGCGGGGGAGTTTCTCAGTCTCACGCACCGGGAGTCGCATCCTCTGGGTCACCCGCCTAGTGCCTACACCGAGATCTGGAGCTGCAGCCCCGGGGCGCACGCCTCCAAGTGGTCGGGTGTGTCTCCACCGACCTAATAAAGTCAGCGGAGCCCCCACGTGCGGCCTCCAGTTACACCCGTGGGAGGCCTCGGTCCCTGTGCTCTGGAGCAGCCGACAGATGCCTCAATTCTCCAGCGGGGGCGTTTTTCTCTTCTTGCAGGCGGTGGTTGGGTCGTCTGCAGCAACAACTACTATAGCCGCTTCCTCTCTAGTGGGGTCCCCTATCTGGCACGCTGTAGTGACAACTCCCAGTTGTCCTTTAGTCTCTSCCTTTTAAAGGGAAGACTTCAAATTTTTCCCCGGTAGGGGCCCTCCCAACCCCAACTTGGTCGCCCACCGTTCTCCTTGGTTGCCACAACCCATTCCAAACCTGTTACTCCAGGTAGGGCGTGCTCGTCCAGGGTTAACTTTCCACCAGACGCTGTCCCTGTGACCTGTCTTCCCCTGGTCTCCCTTCCCCCTCTCTGCAGCCGCCCTAGCTGCCGGCTTCTTAAAAGCGCGTGGCGGGACTGGGGCTGAGACCTCTGTGCCCAGGCTTTTACTTGGATTCCAGCACGTAATGGAGCGGGGGGGGGTGGCATTCAGGACACAGGCTAGGGGTGGCTTAGTGACAAGCGAGAGGGTCGCGCACTGGCACACCACTAAATTCAGGCAAGGCCAGCCYTGCGGCCAAAGCCCATAGACCCGGACTCGGAGCCCGCCCATCACCCTTCCTCCCACCGCCTCGGCTGGGGCAGGCAGGATCACACCCCTTCCTGGGGAAGCAAATGGTCCCTTCCAGGCGGGTGGCCATGTTGCTCTAATAAAGCGGGAGGGGCGGCGGCGTGGGGGGAGCAGATGCCGCTGGCTGCGAGCGGGAGCCGAGTGCAAGCAGAGCGCAGCCGCGAGGGAGGCGCGGGGGAGGCGAGCCGGAGCCCAGGYGCTAGCAGCAGCATTGAGTGTCGGTCCAGAGCACCCAACCGGAGCCGGAGCCGCAGCCGCAGCCGCGATGGCCGTGGCGGTGGGGAGACAGTCTGTGAGTGCTGGGGCCTCGTTTTCTTCGCGCGCTGCTCCTCCAGCGCAGGGTGGTCTCGGATTTGGGGCGGATGCGGGTGGGGACTACCGGGGAGCCGGGCCGGGGCTGTGGACCGTGGCGGCTCTGGCTGTGGGTGTGTGCATGAATTTGGGCGCGCGTCTGGGGTTGTGGGGAGGTGGCGGAGCCGAGAGGCTCAGCTCCTACCTGATGCAACAGTGTATCTCCTCGTCGCGCCACTATTCCAGAGATATGGGAGAAAAAGGACCCTCTCGGCGTTCCCTTTAAAAGGGTTCTTTCGGCCGCGGCGTTTCTGAGCTCTCTCCCTCTCCCCGCGCACACCGAGTCCCTCGTGACAGTCGAGAAAGGCGCCGGGGGTTTCCTCTCGGCTCCCCCGCGCCCAGGGGCGATCGGGGCATGGGAATTGTGAACCAAAGCGCTGTGTCACACGGTGGTAGAAGCGGGTCAAAGGGGTGGGATTTCCGTGGTGGCTTCTCCCAAGCATTGTGAGATCCCGGACACCCTCAGGCACCCACCCTGGTGACCCGGCCCTGCCCAGGATGTGGACAAAGCCCTAGATGTACACACAAAGTTTTCAAAAGGCTCCCTTGTTGGTGTGGGTGGAAGTACTTAAAGGCTCTGCGGCTGGAAGGCCGGGGGCGGTGGGCCGGAGGTGGAGACCCTGGGAAGAGGAGACCCTTGGAAGAGGAAGGGAAGGCGGGTGCGCGGAGAATCGAGTGCCCCACTGGCCGGAGGGAGGGAGAGGGGATGCTCCTGCCCCGAGTTTGTGGGTCAGAGGTCCAGACCCGGGCTGCGCCTCTTAGAGTGCAAGAGGCGGTTTGTAACTCGCTTTGTAACTCGGGACCCAGCCCGAGGGGTGTGGGACTTGGAGGATGCAATCAGTGGCTGCTTTACATCCCCCCGCGTGAAAGCGGGAGGGAGAGGCGGTAGCGGCCTTTCCTTTTTATTGAAAGGAGCCGAGCCGGATGGAAAAGGCGGAGTCCTCTTTCTTTCTCTTTTTCTTTTTTCAAAGACCACTTTTGCCTCCTGGGTTTTGAGGGTGCCTCGGGCGAGGTCCTTCCTGACCTCCCTACCTCCTCTTTCTTTTCTCCTCTTTCCCGTCTCACAACTGTGCAGCTGCAGGTGGTGACTTGAGAGATTTCATAGGTATAGACAAAATCTCAGGGAGATATTGGGAGGTCAGAAACCTAGAAATGCAAGGCCATGCCTTCAAACTCAAGGCTTTTCCCCTGTATTCCTCCTCCCTGAGGCAACGCTTGCCTTTTGCACCCCGAGCCTGGGCCCAGGAGGAAGTTCAAGGAGTTTCCCCTCTGTGAGTTCTACCTAGGTGTATCAAAATGCCCAGGGTTTTTTCAAAGATTTTTTTCTCACGGTCAGAGAATTTGCAGTGGTCACACCAAAGCGCAACTGTGGGTCTTTTAGGGCTTTTAAACTCTACTATTTAATGATACATTCTTAAGAATTCTGGCTTCCTCTTGCACACAAACTGTGGCCTTGCTAATTAGTGGTCATAGTTGTCACTGAGGGAGTTTGCATAGTTTCTCTGTATTTTTCTCTGTATTTCTCTGTATTTTTCTAGTGAGGAAATTGAAGTTTATAGGTTTATCTGGGTAACCCCCCCACACTCTTATTATCAGGGCACAGATTCAGAGAATTAAAATAACAATATCTGCTTTGGCAAGCGTCTTGGAATGCAAATATTCTGTGTAGGGGGTGTCTTTTTCAGTAACACCTATTGCTGGTGCATTCTTGAGGGCTGGGGGAAGTAGAAGAAATAATTTGCTGCACATTTTTCTATAAATTAGTTAGTTCATATATGTCAGTTAAATAGGAACAATATGTGGATTTAAGATTTAGTTGTGTGGCCTTAATCATATCCAACACCAGGTCTGCCCACCATATGTGAGCTGGAGCCCCATGGATTCTTGTGTAAGAACTCTCATTCAGATAATAGAGGAGATTTTAAAAAGATATACGTGTACAGAGGAAATTACTGCTTTCTGCACATTTCCTGTTGTCACTGGAATTAAGATTAAATTACTTAAAATTTAAAAATGGAAGACTTTTTTTCCCCTGACTTGTATGAGTAATCAGGAATTGACTATAAGTTTGGAAAGTCTCTTAATACATTACAGAAAATGTGTGATTTCATTTCCAAGGAATTGTTGAACTGATTGACTTTTTTCATTGAGTTATTTAAGTGGGGTCTCTATAGTTGTGTCTAAGAACAACTCAGTGAATGCAGAAGATTCTCTAAACCCAGTTCCAAGTGAACTGCGCTGCATCTTTAATGCTAGAATTTTCTGCCTTTCCAATCCCCTTATTTATTCTATGTTTTGAATCAAAGAAAGGAAACATTTTTGAGGGAAAAGGATCATTTCAAAGTTGATTTATATGGGAATGGATTTGCATAGTTACTCCTTTAGAATTAATTATGTTTTTTAAAAAGTTGTTTGCAAAATCACAAGTTATCTCCTTTTCCTACAAACTGCATCTCCCATCCAGATTAAAGAAAATTTCAATTGGAATAATTGGTCTTCAGTTTTAGACGTGTTAGTGTGATATCAAGGTAAATACATTTTCATGGGGAGAAATGTTTATATGTCAAATGTAGTATTTTCTGTTTTATGAAGTAGCTATATTCGGTTACAACCATTAAAACCTCAAGGTTTAAATTCAGATGTTTCTTAAGTGAATTTGTTGTTGACTGCAAAAAACGAAAGCTTCAATTTAATGTGATATTGTTTGTTCCATTTGAAATCTCCATCCCCAACTTCTTCGTTTAACCACTGATGGTTTTAGGGCTTGGTCCTGAGAAAATCCTGAAACACATGTGCTGTTTCCAGATTGTAACTGATAATTAGCAAGGACATTTCCCTCCTAGGGATGTGTCTACATTTTGGATGAATTAGCATTTTTGCATCTGCATCCCAGGGCAGCAATTATCTTGATTTTAAACAGCACATGGCAATTACTTTACCTGGGAATCAGGGTTTATGTAACCGAACCACTCCCTCTTAAGGTTTGCTATTCATCAAGTTATAGATGTTAAGAGTTGAACTTTAGAGTTCATTTGGTTCAGTTTTTTCCATGCATAAATATTTCTTACTTGATTCTTAACCAGAGATATGCTTAAACTTTTCCAGTGGCAGAAATTCCTCTATAATATCCTTCAGGAAATTTGTTTTAATTGCTCATTTATCTGTTGAGCCAAAGAAATGGAAAGCAAAGTTTACCATTTGCTCACTAGTTTCATTTATTGAGCATCTACTATGCATCAGATACTGTTTTAGGTGTTGGGGATACAGCAGTGGAGAAGAAAGATATTTCCTTCTTACCAGGAGCTTTTATTTTCTGATATTTAGTGTCCCTGTATATTACAGTGACAAACTTCAATGGTGTTTATAAACTAAGGAGAGAGGGAATTATGCACATATTGCTGAGTCAACAGTTACAGTTCAGGTAAAGACTTTCATCTGTCTGGGAATCATTAGAGATAGTACCTAAAGATAGGGTCTATCTTGAACAAAGTTGGGGCGGTGGTGAGACTATGTGTGAGGAAGTACTAGAAAAAATGTTATTTTTCTTTGTTACAAAATTGACATTTCTATGACTTGAGGATGTGGCCCCAGATGGAGGGCTAGCCAGAGCCCTCCATCTGGGAAAGATTAATAAAGCTGAAAAATGTTTAAGGAAGGGCTGTCTATACAATAAAGGGGCTGTCCTGTAAGGGGAGGGGCTTTTAAGAATTAAAATTCTATATATAGTCTGTGATATAAATTATACATGTGGAGGTGCTATAGATAATTATTAAAGAACATAAAGAGTATTTCAAGAGCAATAATCCTTTTAAAATATTTTGAAATCTGTAGATTGGTGGTGGTGGKGGGGTTACTAGAGACTGAACTCAGGGGCACTGCACCACTGCGCCATATCCCCATCCCTTTTTTGTATTTTATTCAGAGACAGGGTCTCACTGAGTTGCTTAGTTCCTCGATTTTGCTGAGGCTGGCTTTGAACCCACGATCCTCCTGCCTTAGCCTCCYGAGCAGTTGGGATTACAAGTGTGCCACCATGCCCAGCTTTAGATTAATTTTTTTTATCTTTTAAATAATCTTTTTAAAATGATATGTCTACCCTAAAATAAAATTTAAAAAAAGAAATACCTAAGGAATTGGTTAAAAGAACAAAACTATTCACATCCTTTCATCCTGATATAACAACCTTTAGATTGCTGATATATTTTCATCAACATCAACATTTACTTCAATGAAAATAACCCATCTTGTATGAACTGCTCATTAGAAACCAAGCTGTGTGCTGGATGGGGCCTGTCTGACCATTTGAACACTCTCATAGTGGAGGAAATAGATGCTTAGTGTTGGACCTGGGCCACCCTGTGTCTGTCCAGACAAACGAATGAATGATTGTGGAACTCTGCTATTTCCATGATTTGGATGGCCTACTTTAATTGATTGCCAAGAGGCCACCTGATGCCACACTGATAGTGATCATGGGATTTGGAGTCTGGAGTAGTCTACAGGGTTTTCTGTGCCTCTTTTTTGTCTTTATAGGACCCAAAGCTTAGTTGAAGTAGAGACCACTTTTGGATTTTATCTTTTTATTGAGATCTATCTTTCATAATCTTGGCTAGATCTGTCTCAGCTGGGATCTCCAAAGCCTGATCCAGTATTTAAACAAAGACTCAGCCTATCTAAAGCTTCTATTCTTTTTTCCAAGGAAACTACTTTACAATATAATTGATGCTTCCCCTCCCCCTCTTTTTAAAAATCTAGATTGACAGAAAACTCCCTTCCAACTGAACAATACCTCCCAACCTAGTCAGGCCTTGCTGGCAACCCATCAGTGCAGCTGCTATTGAACAGAAAAACAATACTTGGGCTAAGGTGTGATATAGGCAGACTTCTAAAAAAGAATTTGCTGGTGATCTAAAAGAAAAATTGCATTGTCTCATTGTCTCA